AAAGCTCCGTACCTGAAACTTACAGTAAGAGAAAGGAAAATGTGAAGCCTTTAACTGTTTGAATGTAATAAAAATGAAATCTTTCTTCCTGGGCTGAGTCGAAAGAACACACAGATGAAAGCGGAGAATATATATATATACGTAAAGAGAGAGGAAGCAACGGTAACGGCGACGGTAACGATAGATTGATTGACTAATGTGTGTGTACGGTTTGGAATTAGTTGACGGCGTTGCTGACGGCTTGTGTGGTTTGTGACGGTAGCCACGCCGACCACACGTTCGATACGACGTCGTACGATGCATCCTCGGCCTTTTGCCAGCTCGGATATTGGAGTCGTACGAATCGGTTGACGGGTGTCTTCTTCTGACCAAAAGTGGACCTTTTTAAGATTAATTAATTAAAAAAGGGCCGATGAAATTGACACGTGGCGTGAAATGAAATCTCCTCGGTCGTGTTTTAGCTGACGTGGCAACGCGGTTTGACTGAACGCACGCACCCAAGTTTTGAGGCTTTGACTCTAAACGAGTCATATAAATGACATATATAAATATATATTAGCTCTAAATGATTTTTATATTTATTTTTTTTTTATCATGAGTAAATTTGAAGAATATTGTATAGTTATTATTCCAAGTGAGAATTCAAGTTTATATTAAAATAATTTTTAAAATAAAATAGTCAAAAGTTGATTTGATGAGAGAAATGATATGATATTATAGTTAGTTAAAATTATATGAGTAGATGAATAGTAAATTAAAATTTATGTAATGTATAAAAATGACTAATTAGTATTATTTAATTATATTGATAATATTAAAGATAATGTGTTGAGTTAAAATTATAGTTAGATTTTAAGTATGAGATAAAAAAAAAATAAAAAAAAAAATATATATATATATAAACAAACACCCCTTAAGTATGTATATGTAACATGGTCGTCCAAATTGAATCAGACTGTGAAATGAAAAACTGATTGAGTTAATTAATTTGTATTTTAAATAAATTATAAGATTTTTTTTTTAAACCAATGAAGACTATGTTTGGTAAATGTAGGTAATAACTTATAATTGAATTTTGAATTTATAACTCATAGCATATGACTCAAAAACTAGCTTATATATAAAAACGCCCTGATAAAATTAGTTGGAATATATATTTCAATGAACCTATTTGAGAAGCTACTAGCTTATAAGGTTCAGCTTTCCAAGAAAATTTGTCCTACCAAATTAAATTTATTTAAATGCATTAAACTCATAAACTAACCAAATAAACTATACATTAATTTATCATACACACTCTAAACAGTGATTGTTGGCACGTGAATTGGTGAAAATATTTTAAAAAAAAAAAAATCAACAAGTCGGGTCGGGCCAATTCTTATTTTCTAGTTTTATAAATTTAGTTTTGAAAATCTAGACATATTTTTAGCATAAAAAATATATTTTTGTTTTAATATATTGGATGTGTATCAATTATACTAGTACAGAGCCCGTGCGATACACGGGGTGCACAATTTTGAGGTCATTTATCCATTCTTATAATTATATAAATGAATAAAAAAAATGTACGGGATATATATAGTACGTCATGACCTATAATAGGCCAAAATGTGAACACGGGTGATGCACGGGATGTACAATTTTAAGGTCATTTATTAGTACAGAGTCCGTGCGATGCACGGGGTGCACAATTTTCTAGTATGTGTAATAAAAATACATACCGTATGCACGAGACAGAAGCACTAAATGAGTCATTTCCACAGAGCTTGTCCGTTAAGTAGCTCCTGAACACGGGTGCACAATTTGTACTACGTACCATAAAATCAGAACAGATTTCCATACAATTAGATAATAAATAAAGCCTTTTTAATTTAGTAAAGTTTTTACGTACTTTTTTTTTTTACTTATCGGATGGTATGAGATTTTTTTTGTTAAACCGATTTTATGGAATATAATACAAATACAATTAGAGGATTGAACAAAATCAGAATAGATTTTCATACAATTAGATAATAAAAAGGATAAATAATGAAAAGAAGGAATTAGATAAGGAATTTTGAATCTGACTTTTTTTTTTTTTATATAGATAGACTTTACGTACAAATATTGACTTCACTGATTTTATGGGATTTATTTTGACAAAACGATGTTAATATGGAATAAAACAAATAAATAAAGTCTTTTTTTATTTTAGTAACGATTTTACGTCTTTTTTTTTACTTGTCAGATGTTATGAGATTTTTTTTCTTAAACTGATTTTATGAGATATAAGACAAATAAATAAATAATTAAATAAAATTGTGGATAGAAATAGCAATGCATTAATTAGGTTGACTTTTCAATCTACTAAATTTGGTAAATAAGATACCTTATATAATAAGTATAGATACATATAAATAACATGCCAAAATTTTAAAGTATAATTAATGTATTTTAATTTATTATTTAGCCATCAGTAATATCATTTAATGAGGTGATTATTATCTCTTAAATGATAAATAAAATATTAATTTAAAAAAAAATATTTGTTTTTTATATACTCAAATAAAAATTAAAAAATACTATCGATAAATATGAATTATAATATATATCAGTAAAATCATTGCAGAAGTCAATAAAATTATTTAAGGAAAAAATCTTTTTGATCATATTCGAATAGGAAATGTATATATGCAAACAATTAATGCATATAGTAAAAAAAAATTAAATAAAGTATGCATTAAATGTGAGTTGACTTTTCTTGCTACTATTTTTGATAAATAGGATGACATTTAATATAAGTATAGATTAGGAATTAGATATTTTAGTGTGTTCCATGTGATTAGACATTTAGATAAATTAATTGCCATATAATATATAAAAATGTTAATAATGTTTTAATTATCTGTCCAACAACGTTCAATCATGGTCCATATATAATTTAATTTATACCTTCATTATTTCGATTATCCACAAACTTTAATATTCATCAAAGAATTGGCAAAGTCTATAGTCGTTTCAAGTAAAGTTGTAAACAAAACACATTCCAGATAATAGACAAAATTGATGGTTTTACCGAAAAATAAAAATAAAAATAAAATAAAATAATTTATATTTTTATTAATAATTTAAAATACAATAATGATAAAGAACTAACAAAATGATATAATTTAATATGAAACTTGATTTGTCAAAGAATGATATTAATTGGTTAATAATTATGAATAATATAATATATGTCTAAAAATGTATTATATATCTACAAAATCATACATCTTATTAGTTATTTATTTATCTATTTATTTTTTAAAAGCCTTATAAGTTATAGCATTGTAATTATATTTTTAATTTATAGAATTGGTCCCTCTCATATATAAATCGTACATCTTATTAGTTATTTATAATAATTATGAATAATATTATATATGTCTAAAAAAGTATTATATATCTACAAAATCATACATCTTATTAGTTATTTATTTATCTATTTATTTTTTAAAAGCCTTATAAGTTATAGCATTATAATTATATTTTTAATTTATAGCATTGTAACTTATAATATTCTTCGATGATTTAAAATATAAACTAATATATAGAAATGTGATGTTTTCTAACTTTACGAAATACAAAAAGTAGTTTTATTATTCTAATTATTATACTTTGCAAATCCATTTAAGTTTTATTATTTTAATTATGATACTTTGCAAATCCATTTAGTGTGACAAAGGTAAGTTGTTATATATGTTGTTACAATTTATTATACTAATTTTGTATGATGGTTTTTACTTGTTTTGTGTTCTGACATATATAGATAATGCTCCCTTACCAACGGTGGGCACATGTTATTATGTCCACCGTTTATGTGACATACACACATTGGTGATATTAA